GCAGACGCTCAATGACTGAGCCACCCAGGCGCCCCAGAATCACTAATTTTTAAACCTTTTCCACATGTTTGACAATTCTCTCTGTGTGTCTGTGTCTGCATGTGCCCCCCACCCCTTGTCTTATTCTGAATGATTTGAAATGATTAGGTGTCCTGGAGAATAAGAATATTCTCTTATGTAAATGGTAACAAATGATCAAATCCAATTTAATATTGTTACAATATCTGAAGCTACAATCATACTCTAATGTTGCCAATTGCCCCACGAATATTCTTTGTGCTATTTTTATTTGCAGTTTAGGAGCCTGTCCCAGCTGTCTGTTGCATTTTGCACCACCTCACCTTGGTCTCCTTGGATCTGGGATGGTTCTTCAGCTGTGCCTGTCATTATATTGACATTTTGAAAGGCTTGGCTTGGCTATTTTATAGGTTCTCAGTTTGGGTTGGCCTTGTGTATCCCCTTGATTAGCCTCTGATTATACATTTTTGGTGGCAGGAATAGAAAAAAAAAATGTTGGGTCCTTCTCAGGATATCACATCCAGAGGCACCTGATGTCTGTTTGTCCCTAATTGGTGATATTCATTTAATAACTTGGTTAAGGGGATGTCCATTTCTCCAAGATATACCTTCCATGTCTCCTGCAATAAGTTCTTTGTGAAGAAATACTTGGAAAAAAATTTAAATATCCTGTTCATCAAACTCCTCTTCCCACCCCCCCACCCCCCCACCCCGCTGAGATGTATATCCATTGAGCACTCTTGCCTGAATCAGTTTTTAGGATGATGGTCTAAATCCATATTCCTTTCATATTTATCAACATTCTTAGTATAGATTCATGAACTCAATTTTATTTAGTGCACGTTAATCCATTACTGATCGTATTATAAATGTATATGTATGCATGTTTGCATTTGTTTAGATTTCAAATGGTCCCAGGTGTATCTAGACACTAGGAATGTACTAGAAACCATAAGTTTATACCTCCAGTTATAATTTTTTGAAGATTTTATTTATTTTATTTAGAGAGAGAGCAAAAGCAGGGATAGGGGCAGAGGGAGAGGGAGAGAGAGAATCTCAAGCAGACTCCACGCTGAGCACGGAGCCTCACGCGGGGCTTGATTCCAGGATCCTGAGATCATGACCTGAGCTGAAATCAGGAGTCGGACACTTGACCGACTGAGCCACCCAGTCACATTTTATATCTCCAATTCATACCCTACCCCATAGGATTCTTTCTTGCTTCCCCATTCCATATGTGTGTCTCTCTTCTTGCTTAACCCTAAGAAACATATAAATAATATCATGTTTGCTCTACCCACTCCACTTTGAAAAACATGCCTGAAAAGAAGTCTTCAAGGTTTCTTTGTGGTCTTTTATTCTTAAAACTGGGGGTATATTGTCCAAGTACTTGGTTCGAAAGTTCCTTGGGTTAATCCTTTTCCTCCCCTACAGTGTGGTCATGTTATCTATTTGAAATACATTTGAGCTCCTTTGCTTTTCTTTTCATTTGCTTTTAGGGCTTTCCTCATCTTGTTCATTTAATTTTATTTTTGAATATATTGAACATTGACATTATTCTAATAGTCTAAACCGTATAAAAAGGTACCTGAAGAAAAGTGCCAACCCCTCCCATTCCTTCTACTCTGTGCCCCGCCCCCAACCCTTGCAGGGATATACACATATACTTTCTTCTTTCTTTCCTTTTTTTTTTTTTAAGATTTTTTTATTTATTTACTTTTGCAAGAGAGGGAGAGAGAGAGTGGGGGAGGGGCAGAGGGAGAGGAGAAGCAGGCTCCCTACTGAGCAGGGAGCCCGACGCAGGACTCGATCCCAGGACCCTGGGATCATGACCTGAGCTGAAGGCAGATGCTTAACCAATGGAGCCATCCAGGCAGCCCTGCTTTCTTATTTCTTTTTCTTCCTTACAAACTCAACTGTAGACGTCCTCCTTATTACTACTACTTTTTACAACTTCATAGTACCCCATTGTTTATTCAACCAATTGCCTATGTTTGGCCATTTAAGTAATTTCCAGTATTTTGTGATTACAAATAATGCTCCACTTAATAACCTTGTGCAGATTATTCTTTAAAAATTGTGGGAGATTTGTCTTTAGGTTAAATTCCTAGAATTTCTGGATCAAAAGCCAATATATCTGTGTTTTTGCTATATGTATTGTGTTGAATCGTGGTCCCTGAAAAGCTATGTCCACATCCTAACTCCAGGGACCTATGAATTGTGACCTTATTTCACAAGAGCGTCTTTGCAGATGGAATTAAGGCAAGGATCTTAAGATCATCCTGGATCGGGGCGCTTGGGTGGCTCAGTCGTTAAGAATGGGTTCTGTCCCCAAGCCTCCTGCAGGAAAACCCCGCTGACCCCTTATGCTCCCACTTTGGCCTCCAAAACTGTGAAAGATTTATTTCTGTGTGTGAAGCCACCTCGAGTGTGGGGATTGATTGCATCAGTTGTAGGACGAGAGTAAGTTACGTATTGCCAATCTCCTGCTCCACAATGGGCGTTAGTGCGCCCACCAGCGCTGCGTGCCCCATGGTCTCCCCACCATCAGCGGGGGTGCTGGGAAGCTCTCGCAGCTTTGCCAATCCGGCAGACAGGGAATGGCGCCTCCACGGAGTTTTATTTTGCATTTCTTAAAAATTAGGAATGAGGATGAACATGTTTTCATATATTCCAGCAGCCGCAAGTGAGGGACAGCTGCTCTTCGTCAGTGACGGACTTTGCAAATATATTCCCTCCAGTTTTCATTTCTGTTGACTTTGTTTATGAATTTTTGACTGGGTGTTTAAAAAAAATACTTCTTATGTAGTCAAATAAGCCAATCTTTTCTTTAATTTCATCTGGACTGTGAGTCATGGGCAGAAAACCTTTTCCTACACCTACATTGTAGAGGAATTGACCGGTGCTTTCTTCTTGTACTCCTATAGTTTCTTTCTTTTTTTTTTTTCCCACATAAATCTCTGATTCTTCGTTTATTCTTATGTATGGTGTGAAGAATGGATCTACTTGTATCTTTTTTTCCCCCCAATGACTATCCAGTTGTCCCAATACCATTTATTTAAAAGTCTTTCTTTTTCGAATATTAAATTTCCACGTGTACTGGTGTCTATTTCCAGTCTCCCCGGGCTGACCCCAGATTTATGTTCCAGCGTCACAGAATTAATTAGAGCATCTGTGTGGTTTGCTTTAATATCTGCTCAGGCTGGTCCCCTATCCTCCCCACCCTCACCCATATCTTTTCCTTGTCAGTGTTTTCCTGGCTCTTTATCTTTATCTTTCTATCTGGACTTCAGGATCCTCTTGTCTGTCTCCAGAGAAAAAAATATTTGCTACTATTTTTATTGGAATACCATCGAATTGTTAAATGAACCAGAGAAGACAGATATCCAGGTGATACCGAGGCATCTTATGTAAGGAGTACCTTTCCATTTGTTCAAGTCTGATTTTGCATCTTTAAGGAGTCGTGTCATAATTTTCTCAATGCAGATTCTGCGTATTTCTTGTTTATTTCTAAGTAGTTTTTTTGTTTTTGTTTTTTTTTTTTGGTTGCAACTGGGTTTTCTCCTCCGTTATTTAACTGGTTGTGATTTGTGTATGTGAAGGCTCATGTTTTTGCATGTTGATGCTATAGTCTGATGGCTTGCTGAATTCTTTTGTTACATGAGTTTGTTTTAGCACGAATTTGCTAGGGTTCTGCAGGTGGATTGCAAGGAGTGTTGTACTTCATTTTTCCCCATTCCATCCCTCTGCTTTCTCTTGTCTAACTCCGTGGCCTAATGCCCCCAGGACAATGTGAAATGGTGGTGGATGTAACACAGCCCTGTCTTACTCTTGACCTTAGTGGGAACGCATTTAGTGTTTTCTTATTAAGTAAGATGATGGTTTTAGGATTCAGGCCTATATATACCTTCTATATATGGAAGGTATAAATAGGCATTTTTAGGGAAGTGTACTTCAATTCTTACTTCTCAAGACATACGCTCCTCTATCCGTCATCTATCATCAACCATCAGTCCAGCTATCATCTATCTATCATCTATCTATCTATCTATCTATCTATCTATCTATCTATCTATCTATCATCTATCATCATCTATCTATCATCTATCTATATCTATCATCTATCTATCTATCATCATCTATCTATCATCTATCTATCTATCATCTAATTCTTCTTTATCTCATTTAATGCTTTTGCCCCAAAGCAGGAGGGGGAAGCCTCTTCCTCCGGCAACGTGTCTCTATCGCCCTCTACCGACAAAGCTTAACATCATGTCCAGATCCAGTTTTTGCAGAGCAGTGGATAAAGGGAGCGCTGGAGCTTGAAGAAACAAACTGATCACTATTTTTGCTTTAGACAGTTAATTGTATTTTAAAGATATTTTAAACAATGCTTTCTATTTGCTCGCACATTTGCCCTTTCCAGTACTCTTCATTCTTTTGCGTAGGTCTAAATTTCCACTGAGCATCATCTTGTTTCAGCCTGAAGAACTACTTAAAACTTTTCTTTAGGGAAGGTGACAAACTTTCCCAGCTTTTGTTTGTCTGGGAAAAAAAAACACCTTTATTTTGCCTTCATTTTTGAAGGATTGCTTTGTTTCTTTCTCTTTCTTTTTTGAAGAGGTCACATTTCCCCTAGCACTTAAGATGTCTTTCTGTCGTGTTTGGGGTTGCATGATTTCCTCCTTTTCTAGAAATAATTTCAAACTTACAAACATTTACAAAAACAATAGTGTTTCCATATATCCTTCCCCCAGCTTCCACATATTACATAACCACAGCACGATGATCAACACCAGGAAATTACAGGGGCGCAAGATCGCATGCTATCATTCCGAGTTTGTTACTGGTCCCACTTTGTCCCTTCAACCACACCTACCAGCAGTTGTAGTGATGGTAATTTATTTGGACAGAAGAACCTGGAGAAGACAGGGCCGGGGGGGGGGGGGACCTCCCACCTCCCAGAGTGTTTCTGTGGGCTCCCTCGTGTGCAGGTCAGCTGGGGCTGTGGCTCCTGGGGGCCGCGCCCTTAGGTCGGATTCACAACCTTGCCCAGGAAAAGGCTGCTCCATGTGAAGTGGTCGAAGATCATGATAATGAAGGGCCGGTTGAAGTGGAAGGTGAGAGGCTCAGATGCCATGTCTAGCATGACCATGGGGAATTCGGCTGCCTTGTAACTCTTCTCATCGAGTTGCAGCACAACCTTATGGACCACCTGTTGGGTACGGGGCCGAAGGTGGAGGTTGAGCACCTGCTGTGTGTTGGGAGCTTGCCAAGCCTCATCGCTTCCATCCCTCCCACCCCTAGTTTTATGGGTGGCAAAGCTGAGGCTCAGAGAGGGTCACTTGCTGGCTCCTCATCTAAGTGGCAGCCCCAGGACGAGGGCCAAGGTGTGTCCACCTCCAGAACGCAGCTCACACCTAGACTTCTTCCCTAGAAAGAGGGCAGATGGAGCCCAGACAGGGAGATCAGGGGTCCCACGGTACTCACTGGACTTCAATGTCCACATCAGGCACTCCTTACTGGGTCCTGGGCGAGGCAGACCTCGCTCCTTTTTGCACCCTGCTAGCCAAACACTAGGGGCCCATTTCTGCAAAGTGCTTGTGCCTACTCAGAATGGAAAGGGGCTGTTGAACTGTCTCTTGCTGTGATCAAAATTAGGAGGAATTCTGAAATTGGCAAAATGCTTGCATAGCTTCTATCAAACGCCTTCAGTGGATCCGAACTGGCTAATTATCAACATCCTCTGGGGCAGGGGCTCTCCTTGACCAGAGAGCGAGGAGCTGGAGGTTCTGAGAAGCTCTGGCAACAGGTGCAGGAAGAAGCTGAGCTGGGGTAGGAAGCCCCGTGGTTTGTCTTGGGAAATGAGGTTTTGAGTCGAGTAGACCCCAAGCCAAACGTCAGGCTGTCATTTACCCGCTCTGTGGCCCTGGTGAGTGCGTGGTTCAAGCCAGAGGCTCCTCTTTTGAGAAATAACGCTCCCCTTATAAGGAGGTGGCTGTTTGACTCAATCCTTGGCACAGTAAGCTTTTATGGAGCGCATACTGGGTGCCAGGTGCCACGATGGTCCAAGTCTGTATGCTTGAGGGAGGGGCTGCTGCCACCTCAGCTGTCTCCTGTCCCCTCTCTGGCTTGGTCACCCACCCGACCGTGAGATCCCGCCACGTCTCAGTAATGCAGGCATTGCCGGTGCCCAGCAGTTCGGGGCACGGAGTGGGCGTCCAATAAGTATGTTCAGAATGACTGAGGGACCCATAGAGCATAAAGTTAAAGAATGAAGGGAAAGAATGTAGTGGGTAGACTGTCTGAAGGCACTGCGTTCGGACGTTTCCCATTTTCCCGGATCCATTTTGGTGGGGGGCCCACCCTTGTCCCTAGCTCCCGTGTCGTCACTGTGGGAACGTCACATTTTCCCACTGAGCCTCCATTTACCCTGTAGTAAGAGTGGAGAAGACCCGGGGCTCTCAACCTGGGGCTTAGAGACCTATTCATGAAGGGGCCCTGCGTTCCTTATTATTATTCATACTGTGAATTTTGGGGGAAAAGAGGGACTCTAGGGACACTTACCTTTGACAACTTCAGCTGGGCCTCTTGGGTGATGCCGGAGAAATCTGCCCCCTTGTCGAGCAAGTCTACAATGCCCATGTCCCCCAGGATGGCACTGAGGTCATAGGCTCCGGAGATGGCCACCTTTGGGATGTACAGGTTTACCTGGCTGCTCAGGGGTAAGCAGATGGGGTTAGACTTTCCTAGGGCTGGGCCCGACCAGCCGACTTCTGTTTCCCCTGGGATCCCTCCAGACCCTTCCTCCCAGCCGGACACGACCTTTGCGGAAAAGCGGAAGGGACAGAACGAGAGGCAGGATTTGCCTCTCCTTCCATCACACAGGCAGCTTCCTCTCTGGGCCTCTGAATGACTAAGTCTTTTCTCAGCTCTTTCTTCGAGCCAATTCCACCTGTGGTATAGCTGGGCCACTGGCCACTGAAGAAAAGAGTCCCTAAAGAAGTCCCTGTGGTCCTCCAAGCACCCGAGGCAGAAGCTGAGGAGTGGAGGGAACACCTGGCTGGGAACAGTGTCCCGGCCCCAGCCCTACCACTAATGCTGTGTGGCTTTAACCAAGTCCTGTCCCTCTCTGTGCTTGTCCCTCTCCTCATTGACACAGCAAAGCAGGGCACTTCTCTAGATGGGGAAGAACAACTGGCAGTCAGGGAGACTGGCCTCTACCAAGCGCCTGCTGGGTGTCCTTTAGCTTCAGCATCGCATCTAATGCATGCATGCACATGCGGCCTTAGGAAGCTGGAGCCAACATTTTCAATGTCCAGATGGAGAGAATTAAACTCAAGAGGAGCTGAGGAACTTCCCCAAAGTCAGACCACTGGGAAGCAGCAGAATTGTGGAGAGGCCATGACTAGTTGCTTCAAAGCCCCCTTGCCTCATGGGAGGAGGGAGAGGGAGGGAGGGAGGAGGGAGAGGGAGGGAGGGAGGAGGGAGAGGGAAGTAGGGAGGAGGGAGAGGGAGGGAGGGAGGAAGAGAGGAAGGAAGGAACGAAGGAAGGAACGAAGGAAGGAGGGAAGGAGGGAGGAGGGAGAGGGAGAGAAGGAGGAGGGAGAGGGAGGGAGAGGGAGTGAGGAGGGAAAGGGAAGGAGGGAGGAGGGAGAGGGAGGAGGGGAGGAAGGGAGGGAGGAAGGAAGGAGAGAGGGGGGAGGGAGGGTGGGAGGAGGGAGAGGGAGGGAGGAAGGGAGGAAAGAGAGAGGAGGGAGAGGGAGGGAGGCAGGAAGGAAAGAAGAAAGGAAGGAAGGAGAGAGGAGGGAGAGGGAGGGAAGCAGGAAGGAAAGAAGGAAGGAAGGAGGAGAGGGAAGGAAGGAGGGAGGAGGAGAGGGAGGAAGGAGAAGGAGGGAGGGAAGAGGGAGAGGGAGTGAGTGAGGGAGGGAGGGTGCCTGTGAGCTCTGTGTGGGGGCAAGGAGGCTTCCATAGGAGGTGGGCAGTAGCCGGACCCTGAGGGATGGCACTCCAGTGAGAAGGGGGTGATCCTGGGAGGGGTGAGGTGGGAGAAGGGGTGACACAAGCCTGGAAGGTGAGGAACCATAGGGTTTGCCTTCTGGGGCTGGGGGACATCATTTGTACAGAGTAGAGAATTCATGCCCAATCATATATGATGCTTAAAGGCGCAAGAGTCTGCCTTGGATGTTTATTTTAAAAAAATCTAGAAGAAAATGGCATGTGTTATTGATTTTTTTTTAAGCTAAAGTGTTTTAGTGAAAAGATTATTTTTGGTGTAAAAAGAAAGATTATCCTTCTCATTTTTCACAGCCTAGGAGCCAGAATTGGCTTGACCCACGGTGGTAATAACCACCTGGAGACCCTGTTCCTGAATTATGGGCTCCCTTGGAAGGGGAGGGAGAAGGGCGTAATTGAAATGGTGAGCAGCCAGCCATGGGACCCCTCAGGTCGCCCAAACACAGGCTCACCCCCACCCTCATACCCAAGGTCAGGTGGGATGGGTCCAGGACTCTGAGAACATCTCTGGGTCCCCATGTCCCTATAGGGGATTTCTCGGAAACACAGAGCAGACCTCGCAGCTCTTCCCTGCAGGACTGAGGTCAAACTCCCATGTCCAATCACGGAACTGGACTAACATTTCCAAAAGCTCCAGCACTGAGCAGTGCTCTGAGGCTACAGCTCAAAATAAAAATAACTCGAAACCATAAAACATAAAAACCTATATATATATGTTTTTATATATGTTAGGTATATATATATATATATTATAGAGCTTCTTTCTAGATTTTCTGCCTGCAAAGCTCTTGGATTACACATTTCATTCCGTAGAATTTGTCTCCTTCTTTGCAGCTGGTGCCCTGGGCGCGGCCCCCGGACTCGGCTTGTGCCCTTTCCTCCTCCATGCTCGCTCTCGGAGCCCCTTCCACTGGCTGAACTTCCACTCATGTTTAATACACAGTCCCGATGGAAAGCAATCTGCTCTGCAGCACTGCTCTGCCCCGGTCCCCTGGGGCAGCCAGGCACTCCCACCTTCCCCCACCTTTCCTCTCCTGCCCCTGACACAGCTGACACCATTGTATGCCTTGAACTCCACCAGAAGCTGTTTCTCGGCTCTAGAGTGCACGTCTCTGAAGTCTATAGTTTGTCCTAGTCACCTTCTATCCTTTCTGTTTAGCCTAGTGTAGGGCACACAGCAGGTGGTTCCATTTGTGTCTGAAGGAGGGAGGGAAGGAAGGAGGGAGGAAGGGGAGAGAAAGGAAGGAGGGAAGGGAAGAAGGAGGGAAGGAAGGAAAGGGAGCAAGGGGAGGGAGGAGGGGAGGGAAGGTGAAAGGAAGGAAGGAAGGAAGGAAGGAAGGAAGGAAGGAAGGAAGGAGGGAAGGGAGAGGAAGGAAGGAGGGAAGGGAGGAAGGAGGGAAGGAAGGAAAGGGAGCAAGGGGAGGGAGGAGGGGAGGGAAGGTGGAAGGAAGGAAGGAAGGAAGGAAGGAAGGAAGGAAGGAAGGAAGGAAGGAGGGAAGGGAGAGGAAGGAAGGAGGGAAGGGAGGAAGGAGGGAAGGAAGGAAAGGGAGCAAGGGGAGGGAGGAGGGGAGGGAAGGTGGAAGGAAAGAAGGAAGGAAGGAAAGAAGGAAGGAAGGAAGGAAAGAAGGAAGGAAGGAAGGAAGGAAGGAAGGAAGGAGGGAGGGAGGGAGGGAGGGAGGGAAGGGAGAGGAAGGAAGGAGGGAAGGGAGGAAGGAGGGAAGGAAGGAAGGAGGGAAGGAAGGAACGAAGGAAGGAGGGAAGGAAGGAACGAAGGAAGGGGGGAGGGAGGAGGGGAGGGGAGGTGGGAGGAAGGAAGGAAGGAAGGGAAGGACAGAGGAAAGAGGAAAGGAAGGAAGGAAGGAGGAAAGGAAGGAAGGAAGGAAGGAGGGAAAGAAGGAAGGAGGGAAGGAGGGAAAGGAAGGAGAGAAGGAGGGAAAGAAGGAAGGGGGAAAGAAGGAAGGAAGGAAGGAGGGAAGGAAGGAAGGAGGGAAAGAAGGAAGGAGGGAAGGAGGGAAAGAAGGAAAGGGGAAAGAAGGAAGGAAGGAGGGAAGGAAGGAAGGAGGGAGGGAGGGAAGGGAGAGGAAGGAAGGAGGGAAGGAAGGAATGAAGGAAGGGGGAGGGAGGAGGGGAAGGGAGGTGGGAGGAAGGAAGGAAGGGAAGGAAGGAGGAAGGAGGAAGGAAGGAAGGAAGGAAGGAAGGAGGGAAAGAAGGAAGGAGGGAAGGAGGAAAGAAGAAAGGAAGGAAGGAAGGAGGGAAAGAAGGAAGGAGAGAAGGAGGGAAAGAAGGAAGGAGAGAAGGAGGGAAAGAAGGAAGGGGGAAAGAAGGAAGGAAGGAGGGAAGGAAGGAAGGAGGGAGGGAAAGAAGGAAGGAGGGAAGAAGGAAGGAAGGAATGAAGGAAGGAGGGAAGGAAGGAAGGAAGGAGGGAGGTAAGGAAGGAGGGAAGGAAAGAGGGAGGAAAGAAATGGCACCTGCTCCGGAAACCTTCTTGAGCCACTCCGGATCCAAGCGCCCACTTCCCCTCCTGCATCCCCTCCTGCGTCCTCTCTGCCCTTTGGGTCTGCACCACCCCACCCACCACCAGGCCCCACCCTGATGGCACTGCTCTGATTGCTTGGGCACAGACAGCACTTCAATCTCACAAGAGTGAGGATCACGTTCATGAACATCTCCCCCCCTCCCCCCACGGTGCAGGCTGGGGCTGCGCACGTGCTTGACCATAGTTTTGATTGCTGTCTAGCTCAGAGGTGCCTGGGAGCAATGAGTTCCATCATTCATGCCTAGCTCACATGCTCAGCCCGTCCTCCCTGCGTGTGCTCTCGGAGCCCGCCCCCGGCGTGGGCCTGAGGTCAGGCATTCATGGGCTGGTTCTCCTCCCGACCTCCAGGTCATCTGCATATACACCGCTCACTCTCTTTCCCTTACTCACTTATTACCTACTTATGTTTTTCCTTCCTTACTTATTTACTGATGGACTGATTGCTTGAAGAAGAGCTACATCCCTGAGTGACTTAAGAACCAATCATAGGTTTTGTGCTGTTTCCGAGGCACAAACGGACCTCGTTTTGTGGAATGCCCTAAAGTATCTCAGTGTCAGTGGACAGAGATAAACAGGGCTGACTTCTTGGTCAGAGAGCCTCAGGCCTTTGGGGACCCAGCAGAAGAAAACAATGAGCCCTGCAGCGTGAGTGTAGGGGGAGAAGGACAAGGACTTACCGCGTGATCATGGACTCAGACCACCTCTGAATGGTGTCCCGGCTCAGCGCGGCGATGACCGTGTCCATCTTCCCCTCATCTGGGAGCACGAAGAAGACGGTCCCGTTGCCTATGTACTCCAGCTGGACCACCTGGCAGGGGAGCACCCGGTCGTGAAGGTACTTGATAGTGCTCGACTGGAACATCATGGGCACTCTTACCACGGTGGTCTTGTTCACGTAGAAGTTCTCCTCCCTGGTGCTCTCGGGGTTGAAGGGGTGTTCCCATGTGCCTGGGAAGGGAGGGAAGGGGGAGGCGGGAGACAGGCCTGTGAGAGCCGGAGGAAAACACAGTTTGGGGGCAGCAGAGCGCTAAGCAGGTGTCATGGTGGCTGCTCCCTGGAAGGTCCCCGCAGAGTGGCTAGAATTCTCTGGGAAGTTGTGAAATGCCCAGCAGTTTAAAGCCTGTTCTGTCTTCCACTTCTTGAACTGGATTGAGGATTAACTCAGTTTCTGAGCCTCTAAAACAGAAGGAGGGAGACAAAGGAGAATGCCCTTGAATTTGGGGGTAGAATTCAGTGAACCAGACTTTGCCTTACCCCCTGGACAGGAGGGCTCTGGAAATGGTGCTGAATGGAACTTGGGCTGCAAATTCAAGATCAGGGTGGGGGAGGTTTGGAGAAACGGACAACCCATTCCATGCCCACGTCTTGACTTCTGGCCACAGAAGTCTAGCAGGCGGCATGGCTGCCCAGTGGATTGTGTTCACTCCCCTGAGGGAGGCTCCTGACCTCCCGTGTGGCCCCGAGGGCCACACCACATTTCCTGGAGGCAAAGTCAGGATGAGAAGATGCCTTCAAGGTCACATGGTCCCACCCACAACTGGACTTGAATCTTTCCCCCATGCTCCACGATGACATCACCCAGCCTCTTTGCCTGCCTGGTGATAGGGAGCTCACTACCTTCACAGACCAGGCTTTCACCACTGGCCAGCTCTCATGGGAGGAATATTGTTCCTTAGAGCCAAAGCCTAACTGATCATGAGGCCCATCTGCTGAGCCTCTTTGGCTCCTCTGGGCTTACTCCAAGCAACTGCGAGTCCTCTCACAGATGACAGAATTTTGGATGTTTGAAGACATGGGTTGATCTCACCAGGGCCTCCGATTCTCTAGGTTAACTCCTCAGGTCACAAGGTGACTGAGGACCTTGCATCCAGGGGTCCCCAGGTGTCTTGGCTGTTTTGACCTTAAGCCTGGGATCCCTTGTGAAGTCTCTGTTTCCCAACTGAGGCTGCCTGAGGGCGGTTGGCACAGAGCTCCAGGCAGACCCTTCTCCATCCCCACTGCCTGCAGCATCTATGGACCCCGAGGCCAGAACTCTTGTTCTGAGCCAGCCTCAACTCCCCCACCTCCCGTAAGGGCTCCTAAGGGAGGCAGTAGGGAGAGGCGGGAGGATGGAGGGAAAGGGCTGCGGATGCGGAGCCTGGAGACACCGAAGCCGTGCCTGCTCCATCCCAGATGACTGTGATGTCACAGTCTGGCTGTCTCACAGCAGGTGAGATCATTGGAAGGTTCTCAAACCATCCTACAGAGGAGGCCTGTGTTCCCCTGGACTGAAGGCAGCGGTGTTTTGTGGCTAACTTGTCCAATTCACAGCAAAAAAAAAAAAAAAAAAAAAAAAAAAGTGACCATTTTTCAGTGTTAGGTTTTTCATCCTTAAAAGTTTGCTGTTTGCTTTCTCCTGAGTATTTCTTTTCTAGAAGCAAACATAACATATCCAGTTTGCACAAAACAAAATACAGAATGGGATCTAACCTCTACTTTAAGGGATTTCTTCTTGAAAATTCTCAGGCCAGGAGAACTCGTGGTAGGGAAACTTAAGAATTTATGGGGGCAAATTGGAGAGAGCAAGGATGAGTCCTGTAGAAACCCCCCCCCCCCCAAAATAGAAAGACTGTTAAGATAGTTCACTAAGTAAGGAAGGAACATGCCAGGGACACTTTACATGTCCGAAGCTTAGTGATGTTAGCTATGTCACCATTCATTGCTATTTATTATGCTGGCCTGCTGGAAATATGACAGGGTATCCCCAGCTTAAAGAGGGGCTTGCCAATTAGTTTTTCTGTGTCCCAGAAAATCTGTATATAAGGCAGGACACAGCCCTGTCACCCAGAAACGTTTCTGGGCAAACATTCTCAGACTCCTTGACCCTCTCATGTAAGTGTAAAGAATGCTGCCTTTTGTATGGAAAAAAAATGTAGCCAAAGCAACCTTGAGAAAGAACAAAGCTAGAGGCATCATGCGTCCCAATTTCAAACTATATTATAAAGCTATAGTAATCAAAAGAGTATGGCATAAAAACAGACACAGAGACCAATGGAGCAGCACTGAAAGTTGAGAAATAAACCTTGTACATATGGTCAACTAATATTTGACAAGGGAGCCAAAACTACTCAATGGGAAAAAGTCTCTTTAATAAATGGTGTTAAGAAAACTGGATATTTATACAAAAGAATGAAACTGGACCCTTACCTTACACCACTTGCAAAAGTTAACTCAAAGTGGTTTAAAGACTTAAATGTAAGATCTGAAACCATAAAGCTCCTAGAAGAAAGCATAGGGAAAAAGAAGCTCTTTGACATTGGCTTTGGTGATGATTTTTTGGATGTGACTCCAGAAGCATAAGCAACAAAAAGAGAAATAAACAAGAGGGACACATCAAACTCAAAAGCTTCTACACAGCAAAAGACACAATCAACAAAATGAAAGGCAACCTATAGAATGGGAGAAGATATTTGGCAGACTGTAATGTTGGGTTAATATCCAAAATACATAAGGAGCTCATATAACTCAATAGCAAAAAACCCCCAAGTAATTCAATTAAAAAATGGGCTGAGAACTTGAACAGACTTTTTTTTTCTTTTCAAAGAAGACACAAAAATGGCCAACAGGTGCATGAAAAGGTGCTCAACATCATTAGTCATCAGGGAAATCAAAACCACAGTAATTTATCACCTCACACCTATGTGATGACTAGTATCAAAAAGATAAGAGGTAGGAAGTGTTGGCAAGGATGTGGAGAGAAGGGACCCTCCTGCACTGTTGGTGGGAATGTAAATTAGTGCAGGCAACTTAATGTGTGCAGTTCCTCAAAAAATTAAAAATAGAAATTCCATATGATCCAACAATCCCACTCTTGGCAATATATCAGAAGAAAATGCACTCACGGTCTCAAAGAGGTAACTGTACTCCTATGTCCATTATTAACAATAACCAAGATGTGGAAGGAAATTGAGTGTCCAATTATGGATGGATGGATAAAGAAAATGTGGTATGTGCATGTGCAAGCACGATGGAATATTATTCAACCATAAACAAGAAGGAAAACCTGCGATTTGGACAATATGGATGAACCTTGAAGGCATTATCCTAAGGGCAATGAGTCAGACAGAGAAAGACAGATACTGTACAATCTCACTTACATGTAGAATCTAAAATCTAGAACTCATAAAAACAGAGAGTAGAATGATGGTTTGTCAGGAGCAGGAGGTTGGGAGAAATGGGTGAAGTGGTCAAAAGTTACAAACTTCAGTTATAAGATGAATTAGTTGTGGGGATCTAATGTACAGCATGGTAACTTCAGTTAGCAACACTGTGTTCTATCCCTGAAAGTCGCTAAGAGAGCACAGCTAATGAATTCTCACCACACACACACAAAGGTAACTATGTGTTAACTCACCTTATTTTGGTAATCATTTTGCAATATACATATATATCAAATCATTACCCTGTACATCTTAAACTCATGCAATGTTATAAGTCAATTATGTCTCAGTGAAGGTGGAGGGAAAACATGCTGTTTTTGCCTGGTCAGCCTCACACCCTCCAAGGAGGGAGGCCACTGCCAGGTGGATTCCCAGACTTGTGAAGAGGATGATGGCAGGAGGGGGGCTCACCAAGATGGTAAGTCTGTCCAGGTAACAAAGAGCTGGGGGGGGGGTGCAGTTGGCTAATGGGAGGCCCTGAGTAGAAGCTGGGGAGAAGAAAAAGGGTGTGTGGGGATTCTTTCTGGAGATTATGATCTGGATGAGCTTTAATGTTGCTGAGAGATACATGTTAAATGTCATGACTTTCTTTTTTTTTTTTCTCTTTCACTTGCACTTCTTTGACTATGACTGTTTAACTGAAACCGAACCACTTTGGTCTAGGGTTACAAGGTTGTTAAAATGAGGTGGGAAGACTGTAGCGGGTACATATGAGAAGCAAGGATTTCCCTGAGACAATCAGGGGAGGCTTCATGGAGGACGTAACTTTAAAGCCAAGATTTGAAGAGTGGGAAGTTTTAGACACAGACTAGTTGAGGGAGGGCTCAGGGGACAGAAAGAGTACGGGTTTTGTGGCAGGCAGAATAGCTCCCTAAATATGTCCATTTACCAATTCACAGAACCTGTGAATATGTTATGTTACATGGCAAGAGGACATTAAGGTTGCTAAACAAGTGACCTGGAGATGAGATTATTCTGGATTATCCAGGTGGGTTCCCGTGTCATCACAAGAGTTTCCTTAAAAGTGGAAGAGGAAAACAGGAGGGGCAGTCAGAAGAGAGGTCATGGGGATGTGATCACTGGCTTTAAGAAGGAAAGGGCCACAAGCCAAGGAACACAGGTGGCTTCCAGAAGCTGGGAAAGGCAAGGGACTGGTTCTCCCTTAGAGCCTCTGGAAGGAATACACCCTGCCAACACTTTGACTTTAACCCAGCGTGACCCATTTTGGACTTCTAACCTCCAGAATTGTAAGATAATAAATCTGAATTGTTTTAAGCCACCATGTTTGTGTGAATTTGTTATAGCAGCCATGGGGAACTAATTCAGGCTTCCCCGAGGAAAGTCATGCTCAAGGACCTAGAAGGAATTCAGTGTAGTTGGACATTGTGAGTGTGTGTGTGTGTGTGTGTGTGTGTGTGTGTGTGAGTGTGCTGTGTGTTGGGGACTTGGAGGAGGGAAAATGTTGAGACATGAGGCTGGAAAGGACAGAGAAGCAGATGACTCTAGGCCAGGGTATCTCAGCCTTGGATGATAGCCATTCTGGAGCAGATATCATTGTGGGGGCTGTCCTGTTTGGCAGCCTCCTTAGCCTCTACTTACTAGATGCCAGGAACACACCCCACCCCACCCTCAATTGTGACTACCCAAAATATCTCTAGACATTGCCAAGTGTCCCAGAGATTAGAAGGGGGTGAAGATAACCCTGGGTACAGAACCAGTGCTATAAACTAAGGAGTGTAGATTTCTTCTCAAGGACAATGTATCTCCAAATTGTCTGTTCATAACAATGATGGGGGAGTGCTTGTTAAAAATACAAATTCTAGGACTTTCTTGCAGAAGCTTTGCTTCAGTAGGTCTGGCATGGGCTCTGGAATCTATAATTTTAACAAGTTGCCATGGTGATTTTTATGAAAAAGATCTTTGGAAGACCCTGCTCTGAATTGGTGAGGACAGGCCGAAGTTTGACTAAGATGGGACTTGGTCAGAGCTGGCTGTGAGTGCTGGGGAAGTGTGTGGCATAGGGCCATCTGGGGGGAGTTCCTGGGGGGCAGGGCTGTGTCTATCTGGTTCTAGGCTGTGCTTCCAGCTCCTGGCCTAGTGCCTGACTCACAGCCAGCACTTGGCCAATATTTGTAGACCATGAGGCAGCCAATCTGTTCATGATTACATGTTTGAGCCTCAAAAGAACCTACAAGAGCCTGGGCAAGTTGCTCAATTCTTTGGGGTGTCATTTTGATCACTTGTAAGATGATGTAGTCTACCTTCCTAGTAGGATTATGGTGAAGATGGAGATTCACAGATGAAAATGTGCTTTGTAACATCAAAGGCTTTGCCCAAGAATGCACCCTGGATTTTGATGGCTCTTGCTATTCTTGGTAATGGGGTGTAGGGGGGTACCTTTGAAGAAGATGTAGTTGACCAGGATGAGCATGGCTGAACTATCCAGCTTTGATAGAAAGTCCACAATTTTCCCTTGTGTCTTATTTTTGATATACTCATTGATTTGTCTGCTGGCTCCAGCCCCATCCTTGAAATCTGTAGCCAAGGCCTCCAACTCATAATAGTGCTTGGTGTCTGCTGAGAATGACTCCAGAAGCTCCAGGCTGCGGTCAAGGAACAAGGCATTACCCATAGCCATTTCCAACATGGTTTCTGACTCCTTCTTGAAGAGGTGGTGGAGGTGCCGAAAGCCCTGGTGGATCTCAGCTTCAGGCATCTTGGTGAGGTTGAAGCCCAGGCCTTGGAGAAGCTGGACCCGTGTGTGGCCACAGGCACCCAGAGACAATATAGCTAAGGCCATGGAGATGCTCACAGGGGAGATGAAGACATCCTTGCCAGGAGCTGAAGCCACTAGATGCCTATACAGGGTAAAGGCAAAGTCAGTGTTCTTTGGAGCCAAGTCCCGGTGAAGGCTCCTTGTGCTCACGTCAGTATCTGGGTCCTTAGCCTGAACGGCCCAGAGGTCACTGGTGAAAAGCCAGAGGAAATAGGCGCCTAGGGCAAGCAGCATTGTCCAGGATGGTCGGGACCTGCAAAATCAGGAATTCTCATTAGATAATGTAGGGCCTCCAAGGCAGTGGGGCATGGTGAAATGGTAGGCAGAAGACCCCATGGAGGACCCCATTCAAGCCTCAGTTCCTTCCTCCACATTGGCTCTGTGACTGGGACAAGTCAGGACTCTGGGCCTCAAATTCCTCATCTGAAAGTATGATTATCCCTGCTATGATTTATCAAGTACCTAACAGATGCCCAATACTGACCTATGTGTTTTGCCTATATTTTCTCATCTAATCCTCACCAACAAACTAATAAAGTAGGTATTATTATTATGATTTGAGGTAGGCAGAAATGGGGGCCCAGAAAGGTTAAATATCCAACCAGTTGATAGACTCAAAGAACTGAAAGAAAAAAACTGTCAACCAGGAATCCTGGATCTGGCAAAACCATCCTTGAAAAATGAGGGAGAAATCCTAGACATTCCCAGATAAGCAAAAGCAGAGGGAGTTTATTACCACTAGGCCTCCCCTGCAAGAGATGCTAAAGGGAGTCTTTCTGGCTGAAATGAAAGGACACTAGAGAGTAAATACAATCTATATGAAGAAATAAAAATCTCCGGTAAAGGTAAATATATGAGCCATTAGAAAAACTCGTATTATTGTAATCTTGCTTGGTAACTCCACTTTCTATTTCTGATATGATTTGAAAGACTAATCCATGAAAAGCAATTATTAGTCTCTGTTTTTGGATACACAATGAATTTGTGACTTAAATAACTGAAAGAATGTGGGGACAGAGCTACATAGGTGCAGGGCTTTTGAATGCTATTGAACTTAAGCTGGAATAAATTTGAATGAGAGTGTTATAACTTTAGGATGTTAAATGTAATTTCCATGGTAACCAGAAAGAAAATAGTTATAGAGTATGTGCAAAAGGAAGCAAGAAGGGAATTAAAATGTTTCACTACAAAAAAAAATCTACTGAACATAAAAGAAGATAGTAATGCAGGAAATGAGGGACGAAAAAAACCTATTAGGCATATAGAAAACAAATAGGAAATGGCAGAAGTCCTTCTTTATTAGCAATTACTTTAAATGTAAATGGATAAAATTCCCCAATCAAAAGACAGAGATTGGCAGAATGGATTTAAAAAATGATCCAACTATACACTGACTACAAGTGACACATTTTAGATCCAAAGACATCAATATGAAAGTGGAAGGATGGGAAAAGATATTCCATATAAATAGTCATCAAAAGAGAGTGGGGTAGCAGAAGGAAGGAAACAATAAAGATTAGAGCACAGATATATAAAATAGAGAATAGAAAAACAGAGAAAATCAATGAAACCGAAATATAATATATCTAATTGATATAGTATAATATAGTATAATGATATATAATTAATATAATATGGTCTTCAAAAAGATGAACAAAATTGACAAACCTTTAGCTAAACTGAGTAAGAAAAAAGAGAAGTCTCAAATTACTAAAATCAGAAATGAAAATGGGGACTTTACTGCCAATTCTACAGAAATAAAAAGAATTATAAGAGAGACGCTTGGGTGGCTCAGTCAGTTAAATGTCTGACTCTTGAGTTTGGTTCAGGTTTTGATCTCAGGGTCCTGGGACTGAGCCCCACATTAGGCTCTGTGCTCAGTGGGGAGTCTGCTTGAGATTCTATCTCTCTGTCTCCCCCTCCCCCCTCTCTAAAATAAAAATAAATTAATTAAAAAAATAAGTATAAGAAAATATTATGAAAAAAATTACACACCAACAAACTGGATAGCCTAGATAAAATGAAAAAAAAAATTCTGGAAACGCAAAACATACCAAGACTGAATCACAAGAAATGGAAAATCTGAATAGACCTGTATGTAGTAAGAAAATTGAATCAGTAATTGAAAACCCAACAAAGAAAGGCCTGGACCAAATGGCTTTACCATTGAACTCTACCAACATTAAAGAATTCACACGAATCTTCCTTCCAAAAAAACCAAAGTGGAGGGAACACTTCCTAACTCATTCATTGCCCTGACACCAAAGCCAGACAAAGATATTATAAGGACAGAAACGTACAGATGAATATTGCTTATGAACATTGATGCAAAAATCCTCAACAAAATACTAGCAAATAGAATTCATCAGCATATTAAAAGCATGATTATACAGCATGACCAAGTGGGGTTTATTTCTGGAATGCAAGGATGGTTGTACATAAAAAACTCAAGCAACGTGCTATACTACATTAACAGGATGAAGGAAAAAAAGACCATGATCATCACACTTGATGCAGAAAAGGCATTTGGCATAATTCAACACAGCTTTTCAAGATAAAAACACTCAACAAACTAAGACTAAAAGGAAACTACTTCAATATAAAAAAAATATGTGAAAAGCCCACAGCTGATGTAATGGTGAAAAATTGAAAGCTTTTCATCTAAGATTCAGAACAAGGCAGGATGCTTACTTTTGCCTCTTCTATTTAACACAGCACTGGCCGTCCTAGCTAGAGAAATTAGGCAAGAAAAGGAAATAAAAGGCATCTAAATTCGAAAGGAAGGAGTAAAATTACCTCTGTCCATAGGCAACCTGATCAACATCACAGCCACATGTAGAAAACCCTAAAGATTCCATAAAAACCCTGCTGGAACTAAGAAATGAATTAAGCAAAGTAGCAGGCTACAAAACCAGCACACACACACACACACACATCGGTTCTGTTTCCATATACTAACAATGAACAAACTGAAAAGTAAATTAACAGTTATGCTATTTATAATAGCATCAAAAAGAATGATTTCTTGGACACGACATTAAAGGTACAAACAAAAGAAAATTAGACACATTGGATTCTTTAAAATTAAGAACTCTTGATCACTAAAGGACGCTGTCAATAGAATAGAGGTAACCCACAAGATGGGAGATAATATTTGCAAATCCCATATCTGATAAAGGATTAATATCCAGATTACATAAAACTCAAGTATAAAAAAATAAAAAAAATCCAACTCAAAGAATGGGCAAAGATGTTGAATAGACATTTCTTCAAAAGAAGATACACAGATAGCCAACAGGCACATGAAAAGATGCTCACATTAGAGTCATCAGGGAAACTCAAATCAAAAGATCTCATTCCTTTCGATGGCTGCATAATGTTCCATTGTATATATATACCACATCTTCTTTATCCATTCATCTGTCAATGGACATCTTGGCTCTTTCCACAGTTTGGCTATCGTGAACATTGTTGCTATAAACATCGGGGTGCATGTACCCCTTCGGATCCCTACATTTGTATCTTTGGGGTAAATACCCAGTAGTGCAATTGCTGGATCGTATGGTAGCTCTATTTTCAACTTTTTGAGGAACTTCCATATTGTTTTCCAGAGTGGCTGCACCAGCTTGCATTCCCACCAACAGTGTAGGACGGTTCCCCTTTCTCTGCATCCCCGCCAACATCTGTCGTTTCCTGACTTGTTAATTTTAGCCATTTGCACCGACGTGGATGGAACTGGAGGGTGTTATGCTGAGCGAAATAAGTCAATTAGAGAAAGACACGTATCATATGACCTCACTGATATGAGGAATTCTTAATCTCAGGAAACAAACTGAGGGTTGCTGGAGTGGTGGGGGGTGGGAGGGATGGGGTGACTGGGTGATAGACACTGGGGAGGGTATGTGCTATGGTGAGCGCTGTGAATTGTGCAAGACTGTTGAATCACAGATCTGTACCTCTGAAACAAATAATACAATATATGTTTAAAAAAAAAAACCGCAATGAGATACAATTCATACCCATTTGCGTGGCTGTCTCAAAAACCAAACCAAACCAAACTACAAACAGCAAAACAGAAAACAGGTGTTGGCACAGATGTGGAAGGGCTGGAAACTACCTTGCTGGTGGGAACGGTGCAGCTATGTGGAAAAAAAGGGAATGGCAGCTCCTCAAAAAATTAAATATAGAATTACCATATGATCCAGCGATTCTTCTTCTGAGTAAATACACAGAAGAATTGGAAACAGGGACTCAAGCAGTTATTTGTACATTCCAATGTTCATGACCACATTGTTCACAATAGCCAAAAAACCGGAAACAACCCAAATGTCCATCAGTGGATGGATGGATAAATAAAAGGTGGTTGTATAAATATGGAAAACACTCCTGTGTTTCACCTTTCCTCACACACGATTGCCACGCTTCACTCTGACGCCAGAGACGTGGGTTTCCCACACACCAAGCAATTCACCACCAGCTGGTGGAGAATGTAACTCAATTCTGCAATGAACTACAATCCTACAACGTAACTCAGTTCTGACACTGTCCACCTGGAGGAAGTGTCAACCCTCCCGCCCCCGGTGAAAGGCTCAGTTCCCACAAGATTGCCCACCCCCGACTTCAGATGCCAATCGCTAGTCTGTGCTTCCCCGTCACGGCCCCGTCACACTGCAGTGAAATCCCGGCTAGCCCTGTCCCCTCCACACCTGTCGGGAGCCCTCTCGGGAAAGGACCTGGTGCCGTGTGCAGCCCAGAGCGGGGTGGGCTTGTCCACTTACGACTTCTTCTGGTCTCTCCTCCTCTTCCTGTTGTCTCTGGGATTTCACACCTCATCCCTTTCTGTGTTAAGCCCCCAAGATAGGGATGAAAACTCTATCCACCTCCCGAGATTGTCGCGAACATCAGTCACAGCAGTTATGAGTGCTTTCCCATGTGGCCTCGCGCAGCGGGTCATCCTGGGCCCGCTTTATAGATGAGAAAATTGAGGCCCAGGGAGGCAGAGTAACCTGTTCAGAGCTGAGATTCTAAGCCCTGCAGCCTGGCCTCAGAGCTGGTGCCATGCCGTTCTGCCTTTCTCTATAGAAAGCAGAGCGATAGGAGGAAAATAGGTCTCCAAAAAGTACCCAGCAATGCTACAATGCAGTGTCGATATTCTTCATGAATTTCATTTCATGTATGCCCTCCTTGTCTCTCATTTTTGAAGTGAGGCTCAAAGTAAACGCCCACCGCATTCATTATTTTCATGAATGCCCCCATGGGCCAGGTAGTGTCTCGGGCCCTCTGCATTTAAGCCTTAGAACACATGGTGTCATGCAGGGAGTCCTGTTGCATCTGCAGTATCCTCGCCCCAGGTGGGTGAGCAAGGAGGTAGGTGTGTGCGAACCTAGGGCACGCACAGTCCACTGTGCCAACGGGCACAGCTGTCCCTGCCTGCATCCCCCAGCAGGGGCCTTGCCTTGTACCCATTCAGCCCTGCTGTCAGACTCTCTTGTGTTACTCGGCTGGGCTTAAGAGCCTTGGTGCAGTGACGGATGGGAATGGCTCTTGGCTCAGTGTCAACCCCTGCAAGGCTGGAGGCCAGGGCAGATCAAACCCACATGGGTGACCCACAGACTGCAAAACCCTCCCCATATCACTGCTCATCTACCCAGCTCCAGATCACTGCTGGCTACTGTAATGCTCAATGCCCTTTAACAAATTCAATAAGCAAGATGCGCATGGCTTCATTTCAGCGGCTGGGTAGGAGCAGGAGGGATGGACAGTGATCAGTTGCTACTCACGGTCTGCAGAGGGCTCAGACTGCCACCACCGGCTCAGCCCGGCTGTCCTGGGTCCTGGTATGTGTACAGTAAGCCCACGGGGCACCACCGCTAAATCTTGTTGGCCAGCTTCCCTGCTGGTTAATGGTTAGCGGGGGGCCAGTGGACTTCACCATTCGGTTGTCCCCTCCCCCCGGACATTAACCAATGGGCTTCTTTTCCAGGATATTTGAACAAACACAGCAGTGCGGCAAGTTAGCACTCTTCTGCTTTCAGTTCCCTGAAGTTTTCTTTTTAATAGCAAAATGAGGCTGGAGTTGCATCAATGCTTGTGTTTGCCAGGAGGCCCCTGTCACGGAAGCCACAGGTGCCCTTAGTTGGCCCAGTGGCATGGCACCTGTGAAGAACCAGGTGCTAAGCTCGGGCTGGGGATGAGTCTAATGTCTGGTAGGAAAGAGACGTGGAAGAAAAGCAGCCAAGTGCTTCCCACGGATTATCTCATGTAATCTTCCAAAGACATTACGAATTAGATGCTATGCTTATCACTTTTGTTTAGATAAGGAAACTGAGTCACATGGGGCTTAGGTGAGCTTCCCTTGAGATTCAAATCCAAGACCGTTCTACTCGAAAGTCTAGTACCTTCTGTCTTTTCTGCATTTTTATTTATTAGTTCTCTTTTGGTTGAAAGTGACAGGCAACAAACTTTTTTAAAGCAAAAAAAAAAAAAAAAAGAATATATATTGGGTCTCATGAATGAGAGTTCTGAAGGGGGGCAGGGCTTCAGGCTTGGCTGGATCCAGGGGTTCCAAGTTGGGTATCATATCCCTCTGTCTCTTTTTAAAAAAATTCTTTCTTAGCTCTTCTTTATTCAGCTCTCCTGCCTTAGCCTGTATGTTGAGGACAAAGGTGGCCACTGCAGCTCCAAGTTATTTGGTTCTAACTGGTTATTTGAGAGACTCATTTTTTCTCCCTGTTCATGTCAGTCCCCCAAAGGACTCTGGGCATGATTGCTTATCATTGGTCTGATCACAGCGTGCAGAATATTTGGCCTTGCAAACGCTAGCCAGGGTCCTGTGCCCTCTGCTGTTTGGTAACATTATTAATTCCAGGGAAGCTCTTTCCAGGAGTAAAGAGGAGAAGTTGCACCAGTTCTAGAGATTTTGGGGGCACTTCAGTTTTATTAATACTTATGGGTCTTTTTTAAAAAGTTTTTTTATTTATTAAGTCAATTTTGGTATTTATATCTAGGAATTTATTATTATTATTATTTTTAAAATTTTTTTATTTATTCATTTGAGACACAGAGATAGAGAGAGAGAGAGAAAGCATGAGCAGGGAGAGAGGCAGAGGCAGAAGGAGAAGCAGGCTCCTCGCCGAGCCAGGAGCCCAACGTGGGGCTCGATCCCAGGACCCCGGGATCACGACCTGAGCTGAAGGCAGACGCCCAACCATCTGAGCCACCCAGGCGCCCCTGAATTTATTATTTTTAAATCTAAGTCATATCAGTAATTTTTTTGTTTCTATATTTTATTTACATATTTCCTCTCTTCCCCACCCCCCCTTGATGAGTCTTGTTAGGGAAATCCGTCTAGTTATTTAATCTTTTCAAAGGATCAGCTTTTAGTGTTTAGTTTTCTTAATCCTTACTGGTTTTTTAAAATCAATTTTTTTATTGATTTCTTCCTTTATTTTTACTTTTTACCATCCTTTCAAATTCCTTGTTTTTTTAAATCTGTTGTTCTTTTTATATTTTCTTGGGTTAAATGCTTAGCTAGCTTTCCTACTTTTTAACATTTCCAGTCTCCATATAAATGTATTTAAAGTTAAAAGTCTTCATCTAACTTCTGACTGAGCGATGCCCCACAAATTTTTGATATTGACTAATATCATTGTCATGTTTTGATGTGTTTCTAATTCCCCTTTATTTTTTGTTAAAGATTTTATTTATTTATTTGACAGAGAGAGACACAGCGAGAGAGGGAACACAAGCAGGGAGAGTGGGAGAGGGAGAAGCAGGCTTCCCGCTGAGCAGGGAGCCTGATGAGGGACTCGATCCCAGGACCCTGGGATCATGACCTGAGCCGAAGGCAGATGCTTAACCATCTGAGCCACCCAGGCGCCCTTAATTCCCTTTTATTTTTAACCCCAGGGTAAGTTAGTAATATATCATTTAGTGTATTTAGAACCTTAGGCTACTCTTTTGTTATTTACTTTTTTTTTTTTTTAAGATTATTTATTTATTTGAGAGAGAGAGACAGAGAGAGAGAGCACGAGCAGGGGAGAGGCAGAGGGAGAAGGAGAAGCAGACTCCCACTCAGCAGGAAGCCCAACACGAGGCTCAATCCCCGGACCTCACGATCATGACCTGAGCCAAAGGCAGACGGTTAACCAACTGAGCCACCCAGGCGCCCCTTGTGTTATTTACTTTTACTTCACTTTGGTCAACAAATACTATCTACAAGGCATACCTGATACATGTTGTTGGTTTGGTTCCAGACCACCACAATAAAGTGAATTTCACAATAAGGTGAGTCAAATGAAGTTTGTGGCTTCCCAGGGTATATAAAAGTTATGTTTACACTACACCATAGTCTATTAAGTGTCCAATAGCATTATGTCTAAAAAAATGTATATACCTTAATTAAAAAATACTTTATTGCTAAAAAATGCTAAACATCATCTGAGCTTTCTGCAGGTCATAATCGCTGATCAGAGATGACCATAACAAATATAATAATAATGAAAAAGTTTGAAATATAGTAAGAATTACCAAAATGTGCCATTGAAATATGAAATGAGCGAATGTTGTTAGAAAAATGGTGCCGACAGACTTGCTCCGACAGGATTGCCAGAAACCTTTAATTTGAAAAAATACAATATCTGTGAAGCAGGATAGAGTGAAGCACAATAAAACAAGGTATGCCTGTATATGATATTGAATGTGTGGAGCTTATTGAGGATTTTTTGCAATCACATATGCTTTATTTTTATAAATGTTCCATGTTTTCTTAAAAATAATGGGTAGTGTCTGTTCAATATGCATAAATGTGTATACATATGTGTATATGTACAATTGCTCGAACTTATTTCTTTATTCAACATCTATGCTGATTCTCTATTTGCTTGACCTTTTTGTCTCTCAGAGAATGTTAAAATCTCCAATTGCAATTGTTCATCCATTTATCTCTATCAGTTGTTGGTTGATGTACTTTGAGGCTGTTAAAGCAGATGTACTTTTGATAATTATATCCTCTTGCTCTATTGCTAATTTTTCTTTTATCTCTGTTTCATATGACACATTTTGCCTTAAATTCTACTTTATCTAAGAGGATTGCTTTCCTAACTTTGTTTTGGTTCACACTTGCCTGATGTAGTCCATCCTCTCATTTCCAAACTATGTTTTCTTGTTTTAAAAGTGTCTAACATATACATTTGGTTGAATTTATTTTTATTATCCAAAAATGACATTCTGTCTTTTAATTGGCAAAATTAACCTATTTACATTTATCTTTAATTATTGTTGTATTAGGACTGACATACCATTTTATTTCATATATTCCATTTACTATCTGTTTTTTCCTTTTTGTGTCTTTTATTTATTTGCATTGAAAAGATTGAATTTTCTCCTATGGGTTCAAAAGATGTTTATTCTAGTTTTGGTATTATGGTGGTTGCCCTTTACTAAAAAACATTCAGCCGAGGTCCTAGCCGTCATGGGGAGAGACAAGCCACTCCCGCCATGCCTTGTCTGAATTCCTGTCCTCAGAATACAAGAGCATAATAAATGATTGTTTCCAGCTATTAAAATTTTAGATAATTTATTATTAAGCCATAGTACCTAGAACAGATTTAGATACCTGGGAGTGGGTGGGGTGCTGAATAACAAGGAGGGAATGAAGCCGCAGTTCTGGGGTCAGCTGACAAATGGGAGTTGGAAACGTTTTATAATGACAGTTAGTGGACACCTATGACCCTGAGGCGGTTGTTGTTAGGAGCTTAATGGAAAGTGGGGACCAGGCTATAGGAAGGAAGAAGAGGACTCTTAACTATGCAGAGGGAGAAAGTTTAGCAATGCTGTTACCTGTGGTAACATGAGTGTGGAAAATGTTACAAATGAGCTGGTAGCTGATGAGATTTCCAGGTGTGGAAGGTATGGTCTGGTTTATTCTTACTGCTTAGAGTAAAATGTGGGAGGTCCCAGATAAGCTTAAACATTTTTGTTAAATATACAAGAGCTAGAACTTTCTGAGTTAAAAAGGTAATATAGTTTCTCCCTCTTAGCCAAGGATATTGTCTTTTGAGAAGTACCTTGTTTAAGTAAGATTGAAGAGAAGTGACTTCCTGTCAGATTATCTTTTTCTTATTGATTGGTAGGAGTGCCGGAAAGAGAGATAAATATATTGCGAAAAACCTTCTCTAAATTTGTGGCCTGACTTTTTGCTGTCTGTATGGAATCTTTTGGTGAACATAGGGCAGAGTTCCAGTGGAGCCCAATCCTTCTATTTATTCTGCAGTCAATGCTGCTTCTGTCCTGTTTCAGAGACCTTTGCCTCCCCTGATGTTGTGAAACCCATTTTCTCGTATTTTCTTTTTAGGAGCTTTGGTTGCTTTATTTTTCACATTTAGATCTGCAATCCATCTAGATCTGATTTGTGTGTATCGTGTGAGGTGGGGATCAAATTCATCTTTTCCCATATGTCTGGGCCATTTAGTGACAACAGGGACTGTGTTCTTTAAAAGTGTCAGTCTCATAAAAGACGAAATGTGTTACCTCTTGGAGGAGATCGAAGAGGCATGGCAGCTGTAACCGTGTGATTCCAGAGGAGGAGGCGGTGATTCTGGGAGGGCTTCAGCAAGAAGCTTCTTCCCGGGGTTGGGGTGACCCCGGAAAGACCAGCAAGTCATCCCTGATGGCTTCCTCAGTGCATCCTCCTTAACTGTGGGAATGTGTTCTACGAAGGACATTACTGAGACAATCTACAAGACTGGAATATGAACGGGACGTTAGAGGAAAAGTGTTGTACCAGTGGTGACTTTCCTGAAGTTGAGAGGTTTACTGAAAAATAGTGCCCCTAATTCTTAGAAAATATACATGGAAGTATTTAAGAGTGAAGGGTCATGGTGTATAAAATGGA